AATGTATCTCCCCCCCCCCCCCCCCCGACCTCAACCCTGAGACTGGACAGTAAAAAGAGAAGCAGTAGACCGATAAGCTCATCTTTCTGTCACTCTTCTCTATTCTATTCAGCATGCTTCTTGCAGAGCAGTAGACCAGATGGGTACTTTGTGCTTTTACTCTCTCCTCATCTGAGTTCTGCTGTACACAATTTTCGCAAGATACTATGTAAAATTCAGGTAGTTACTCTGCTCGCATTTAAGAAAAAACACATTTAATAATGTATTCATGCATTAATTGGTGCCCCTAATATCTGCATGAAGTTCAGCTGCAAACAAAAATAGAAAGGGTTGACCATTCACCACCTAAGCCAATTGTTATTAACACTGGAAACAATTGTAGCAGCCATACAAGAAAAGCTTAGAGAGATATTTAAGAATATTTCTCAAAGTGGGCAGGTACCTAGATTCGTAATTCACAAATTACATTGTTTAGAGAATCATAATTTCAGAATTTAATGGTATCAATAAAGCCCGACATGATGATTATCTAAGCCTTTTAATAATCAAAGAATTTAATAAGAAAATTGTAACCTTTACATACAGAGCATTGCACACCAATAATGTACATACTGGCTATTCCTATGCAAACCAGTAGCAATTGTTTCCAAGAGTCTGCTTTGCTCCACATGTGTCAAAACCTAACATGGCTTTCTACCATAACCATCCTATGCAAGCCTAAGTTTACTACGTTCTTCTAAAGGCAATCAATCACTGGCACTACTATGAGAGACCGTGTCTGGGATATACAAAGTATTGTTAAACACAAGTACAACTCTAACCCTTTGAAAAAGAGAAAAGCCACCGCGGTTTGCTCTATGTCATTATCTGCCATTAAAATGCGGTTCTTAGAATGTCAGCAATGTTCTATTCTTGCAAACAAAACTATATATAAAATATTAATAAGTGCATAAATCTGCTTTTCATCTCTCGCTGAATGTTGTTCAAAATAATGTCGTTGCGTGCAATGTCATCGAGCTCAACGTATTTGCCAAGACGTATGATACAATTAATTTGTCTCTTTCAGGAATGAAAAAAGATCTGATTCATGAATGATTTAATAAACACCGCTAACATGGGAGAAAAAAATGGTTTTAGAAGTTGGAATTAAAACACACTCTGAATAAACAGAGGATCTTAAACTGTAGCCAAAACTTGCATTATGAATGTTCAGATGCACAGTATTATTTGTGAACCTTATTCTTGACAGAATGAGTCAGAAAAAAAAAAGCATATCATTAGCTAGTCATTTGTAAAGATTGACAGATATCATATGTGACATGCATGGTAAGAAGTACTTTTCATAACCTCTTGATGAACAGCGGTGATTTGCACCTTCCTGACACAGTGATTCTGGCCTAAAGTTTACGTCAAGCCAACACTTGGCTGAGTGTCAGAACTCTAGGTTTTCTAGATTTGTTTTTCAATAGCCATTAAGGCACAGGAAAAACAGGATTGCCAGACCAATTGTTGAAAGACTATGAAGAGTTTATTTCCAAAACATCAAAAGAACAAACCAACCTGTCTCGGGTGTGCTAATAGGCCCCCTTATCGGGGCTTAAAAATGTGTAAAGTGACCTGAACAAAACAAAAATTCAATTTGGCACCTCATAAACAAAGAGGATTCCAAGAGGAATATTGGTGAAATTCCAAAGGTACAGGTAAAAGCTAGAGCACCAAATCAACTATGCATTATTTTATTTAATCATAAAAAGGTCAAAATGACCAGTTAACACATTTACATGTTAACTGTGTGATCGGTCTACATTTGGACCAGCTCATGCTATCTCTATCATTCACAGATTCAGGGGGACAGAATGCTGGAGTGCAGATTGCGTTTTTAAAGTCAGAGAGCATCCAGGTCAAGGGACGTTATTTCCTGCATTTTTTTTTTTTAGGTCCAGCATACTAAATGGCTTTGGCATTAATCCCCAACCTTTACGGAGGTCTCAATGTAGCAAACCTAGCCATCATATATGCTCTCTGGCCACAAAATTGTCTACTGAATAGACATATGGATCACCAAGAGCAGTGCTTGTCAACCTATGAGATGTAGGATGCGTCAACTAACGATACTGACATGCAACAGGAAATGGTCACAGAATGTGGACATTTTACAGTAGAGGTTAAAGAATGGAGATGTGTTGCAGGACACAGGATTGAAAACATTTTATAAGAGACCGTTAAAGATCACTATAGTAGTGCCTTTACAGATTCCACTGCTGACTGTTGAGGTTTGAAGGCTACACAACAATCACATAAAGGCAGCATGTGGCAAACTCCAGGTAAAAATGGTTTCTAGTGGTATCTAAACCCATCTTTTTAGTATTGCAAGATAAAAGTGCTAACCACTGATCTAGAGATTTACCAATGTTCCAAATATCCACAACCAGAAAGCTTTATTTGTATTCTGTAGTTACTTTTTTCTCAGTTTGTATAAAGAAACCAAGCCAATATTAAAAAAAAAAAGCAGCATGGACAGAGATTTGTTCGTACCCTTAAGGCAAATAAAATATTACAGAGAGGGTGCATTCAAAAGATTTTAATACTTTTTTCACATTTACAAAACTAAACATAAAATGTCAAAGTAAAAAAAAAAAAAGAAAGAACAAACAGAAAAGACCCTATTGTTTCAAAATGAAAGGCTTGGTTTCAAAGCAAAAAAGATCATTTCTAGAAAGTGAGGAAACAGAAAACATAGGGAAAAAAATGTTT